TATTTGTTGGGAAAATGAATGACACGCACTGCCGAGACAGAAGGAGCCAGGGCAGAGGGGCGTTTCCAGGCCCAGGAGCACATGTTCACATCACTCCTTCCCCAGTCTCACAACAGACCTAAGATTTAAGAGATAGGGGGCAGGCCATGTGAAAGATAAAGAAGGAAGGAGGAAAAGAAGCCAAACCAGATGTAGCGCAAAGACCCAGCACTGTTTTCAGGAACTAACCTCAGCAGAAGGTGCAAAGCAGAGGTGTGGGGACATGGCCAGCAAGTCCCTCTTTCCCTCACTGTCCCCTGAGCATTCTGAGAAATTTAAAACTAACTCATCATTTGATATTTCTACCATTGCCCCATCTTTTCTCTCAAGCTATAAGTATCAACTTATCTGAATTTTAACCAACTCTTTAGAAAAACAAAACCCCCAACATTCTAGTGGGGGTTTAATGCTCAGACTGTTTTTCTATAAGATAAACAGTAAACATATCTTTAAAAAAAAAAAAAATTTTTTCCAGATTCTTCCAAGTACTCAAAACAACGTGCAGCCCATAACTTTAAGTTACCTTGTCCAGACCCACTTACTATTTTAACCAGTCATCTGTTATCACCTCAGAACTGTAATTATGTTTATGCCTTTTGAACAAGCTGATGAAAAGAAACATTTGCTTAAGGTTCCCATCAATGAATGCAGAGCTTAGACTAGTCTTTAGCTTATACAAACGTTATGCTTATTAATTCAGAATATTCATTCAGTTATTGAAACATGATGACAAAACTGTACAGTGAAAGACTGATTCTCTATTATACATATTAGCATTGCACAGAAATCCTTTGGCTCAGGAATAACTGTCCGAGACTCGAGATTCATATATCTCTTTGAATTTTTAAAACGGTGATTTAGGTATCAAAACTATAACATCAATGCTCTGAATACACAGATTATAAATTATCAAAATAAGTCCATTCTGATTAAGAACTCTCCAGCTGGATTTCAGCTTAAGAAATTCTAAAACTGCCTATGCGCAGTCCAGTCCACGCCAACAACCACAGCATCCTTTTTAATTAAAAGCCAGTGAGATGACTCATGCCACCTGTTTCATTGATCCTCCTACATTCCTATTTTGGTCAGAGTTCTCTCTTAAGGATTAAAACTTTTATGAAAACAAATAGCAAATATTTATTCAAATTGATTACTATTATTTCACATCCTGACAACTACATTTCCTACTATAAAATTATATTTATCTATATTAATTTTAATAACCCAAGGATTATTCAAAGTGACAATCACAGTGGGTAAATGTAGCTGTTGGAAGGGCTAGTAGCTAAAGCAACTATCATATATTTTCACATATCAATGGAAATAGCCTTCCTAAAATTTGTTATAGACCCAGAAAAGTAGATTCTTAAAAATCTGCCTACTTAGACACATTTCAATGTAATGTTTACTTCTCAGTAAGTATATTGAACAGAACGAAATACAACAAATCCAAGGAGAAAGGAATGGTGAGGGATGGCGGAAGGGGTGGTCACCATGCTTTTATGATTGGATCCAGATGACACATCATTAATTGCTGAAGCTCTCTAGACTTTGAGTTCAATGTGGAGTTGATAGGGAGACGTCTGCAGAAGCCCTGTACTCAGACAGCAATCTGCTCCCACTTACAGAGCTCCATGAGTGGGATTTGCAGGCTGTCCATGTTATATTGCCTTATTTGCCATCATTCCAGGCACTAGTCAATCGACTGTGAAGACAAGAGTCAAAATAAAGGGCAAAAAAGGTAATGGTCTAACTTCACTGTCTGCCTAGATGAGGTGAAATATTTTCTTTTAAACACAACAGAGAATGTAATCAATGTTAAGCAGAGGAACCTTGCACAAACAACAGGACCAGAGATTCCAATTACTCTCTCCTCTATTCTTCAGAAACTATTTGGGAGGTAATTATAAAACTCTTCCTCTAAGCAAAATGCAACAAGACTCTAACCATTGCTTCCCAGTGGGTTATGTGAGAAACAAGAAGCAGAGAATGATTCTCACAGGTCAGCGTGTGTGTGAATCAGCTGGAGTCCTGAGGCATCTCTCAGAGATTTGGGGGCAGTCACTCCCCGGCGGGCCGGCGATCTGGCCTTGAAGGAGTCCTTGGGGCCACCTAGGGAGAAGAGTTTGGGGCCCTAGGAACTGTGAGGAAGAGTTAAACAGAACCCAGAACACATGATGTGGGTTGTGGCCTTCCCCCCAAATGCAAACGAGAGCTTGACAAAGGGAACACGCAGGCAGCCAGCTGAGGTCTTAACATCCAAGTGGATCCTTTTGTGAAATCCATCCCTCTCTTCACCAAATCATTCACATTAGCCTGTTACATGAAGTCTTTGGTGTTTTTCCTTTTGCTACACACATTACTCATACAGGGAAGGGAAGTGAGCTGAGAGTTCAAGGGCACTTTTGACTAGAACCAGATGAATTGTTGCAGTTGCCTGGGAAACCTTTGAAGACAACCATACTTGATATGTCAAATATCTGAAGTTAACATGAGTCAAAGTCATCTAGAAGGTAAATCCAAAAAAGCTAATGGCATAAGAGGGACACTTGGCTTGTAAAAGTAGTTCCAATTTGTTATGCGCTCGTGAACTTTTGAAAAGAGGAAAGGATTTTATCATCCTAATTAGCCTATAAGAAGGATCCTCTTAAATGCTAACTTTCAGATTACAGAATAAAATTTAGTGAAAAGACATTTAGATCCCCTAAACATTTATGCATAGACGATGAAACTCGAGTTTTATAGTAACCCTAAAGCAAAATATAACATGTCTCCAGAGATTTGTCCCCTCACGTTCTTTGGAATTCTGTTCCAGTCTAGTAGGTTTTTCTTTCCAGATTTCAAGTGTAAAATGTATGTCCAATGTAGAGTATCACGTGTTTTATTATAAAACAAAAAATGTTTTCTGTGGTAATTCTGAGAAGAAAAAAATTAACAAGTAAAACAATGTGATATCATTTTGCATCAGGGAAATATGGATTTAATGGGAAACTTCCTTAAGTTGCATTTTGCTTCAAACGCTGTGTTACATAGGGAATCTTCCACGAATCTGAATTTGTGATTTTTTTCAATACTTTCATCAAAAAAAATCACCCCAAAAAGCTGTAAAATGAAAATTTGTGCACATGACTGATACTAGACTTCACATAGTCTTTTATAATAAAATAAATCAAAAAGGAAAATCGAAGTGAAAACATCTCTGATGACCTCAGGGAATTAAAATTTTGTCCCTTGCAACTCAATCCTTCCATGTTAAGGGGCCCATTTCGAGATTAGCATGTATGGGGAGTTTTATTATTATTTTAGAGATTTATGATTTTGGTGGAGGACGCTGTCCAAAAACGGCTACTTTCACGCAGAGATTTTCACTTTAGGTTTCAAGACATCTGTTTGGAAACTCCTTGGGGAGTTCATTGCTCTGCGCTGCCCTCTTCTGGTAAGCCTGTGTAAATGGTTTCTGGAAAAGAGACCTGTGCCGCCATCGTTTCCATCCTCCTACATTTCCACCCCAATTCATCAATACATTGCTCAAGGGCCTAGATTTCCTATGTGGTGATGTACAGAACTGAACTTTAATTCAAATCGTTTAAAGGTATAATCAAAGTAAAGCTTTTTTTTAGTTTGGATTTATTTTTATTTTTATTTCGTGTTGTAAATACAGGTTTTCCCAGATAACTTGCGAAGTCACAAACTGAGGACACCGTCTCACCTAAAAAGTTTGGTTACAAAGTCAGTAAGAAAAATGATGTTATTTTTGAAAAACATCAAAATAATTTAATGTGGGATTATGAATAATTTAATGTAGGACCATGTTGCTAGGAATGTCATTTTTATCTTGGCCGCATGAAGGTGGCTTACAAGAGAATCACTACTTTGGCATAAATTATTTAGGTTGATCTGAAGGGACCATTCCTGCTAATTTGACAGCAATTTATCTGAAATAGTTAGAAAGATCAAGCCTCCAAGTTATGTGCAATAAATGTATTCACCAACTGCCAGAAAATCAGAAGCTCTTCCTGACTGCAACAGCACTGTGAGCCTCACTGTCTGCTCTCCTCCGGTTACAAGTGCTTTCCTTAACCCACAGTCACGAGACAGAAAACTGCACAGTCCTGAGAATCAACAGCTAATTTCTATGCAAACTGAAAGGACAATCTTGTCACAGTGCTAACGTTATGTGTATATATCATACCAACAAATAAAAGTGGTTATTATGCTTTGCTCAAGAAACTCATCTACAATCCCAAGTACTGCGTAGTGGCCAATGCAATCTTTGTCCTTCTGAACCTCCTTCAAAATACCCATTCAAAAGTCCAAAATAATGTTCATTTTCAGTGACCTAAATTAGCTAGAGATTTTTTAAAATCTTATGGCTCAAAGAAAGAACCATGAAGGTTGATCCCTCAGTGCCTATGTTCCAGTAAACAGACATATAGCATGCATATGTTGCAGGTCTCCTATAGCGACAAACAAATGGTTCAAGCATTCAACGTGTCTTCATATTTGATGCTTATTATGTGAAAGCAACAGATGTACTTCTCGTCTGAGCACAGAAAAAGTGATGTTTTTAAAAATCTTAAATAGAAAATGAGTCAGTCCCAGTGCAAATATAAATCTAAAAGAAATTCCATACTGTACAAGTAATATTTGCAGTATTAAATACATTGACTTTTTCACAGAACTGTCTGCCAAGTATTATACTCAGTCAGATCCCCTCGACCTGGTGAACATGTCTTTGACTGCTCCACAGCCGGCATTAGAAACCACTCAGGTGGTCGCTGATGGTCACGGTGGACACATGGCTGCCATGCCCATGCCCACGAGAGGGAGGGGCAGAAGGTGAGCCCTCCTAACTCCTCCTCGCCCATCTCGTGTCAGTGGTATGTGTTTTCATTCAAAGTTCAACCCAGTGCGATGTAATAAAATAACCTAAATGTACTTTTTACAGTATTTTTTCTTACCTTTACCTGGCGAACGTCTACAGGTGTGTCGAAAGTTATCTTTTTCTGGATGTGTTCCAAAATGCTCTTATGCTATTTCTCTTAGGATTTCTCCACGCTGCCCCATTCAGAAATTTTATTATTTTCTAAGGAATAAAAAAAGATATGAAAATTATCATAAGAAAGCCATTGATTTTCAATAAAGCTACACAAATGCCAAACCAATGTGAATAGCACCTTCCACAACTCTGCCAGGCACTGGTTTTTGTGTAGGATGATGCCAGCTTCTCTCTTCATGTGGCTTTATTAAAAGCCATGGTTTCTGAGATGTAAAACACCCACAGTTACCTCAATCATTTTTTCCTCCTTACCTCTAGTATTCCCGTGAGGTCACATTCAGTTAAAAACATCCTGCCCTTCTCCCTACAAAAAGGTTCCATAGAATCAGAACGCAGAGGCGCTGCAACTTGCTAACTTTGCTCTGTGTTATTTACTAACCGCACAAAGAAAATGCTGTCTATTCAGAACTCATTTCAAAACTCTTTTCACTGAGAGTGAGCGAACAAGCGGGCTCATGTCCCGAGCCCAGTCACATCTCCAGCGGTCCGGTGATGGCCGTGGGGCCGGCACCGAGTGGCACGGCCTCCGCGATGGCCCACAAGGGTCTGTTGTCCACGCCGCGTGGGCCGCGCAGGCCGGTGGGAGTCAAGAAAGGGGGAGGAATGGGGGATCTTTCACTTTTTCACCCCACTTTCTTTACTTGCTTGCCCCGAATATCTGTTACGAGGCAGCCCTCTCCCCTCAAGGCCCCTTCATCCTGAACGTGCATGATGCCCCTGCAGTGACAATACAGAATCTGCTCAGTGGGCCTGGGTTCGAGGCCCAAGCTCGTCACTGGGTTGCTGCGGTTGGGTAGGTTACTTAAACCACCTGGAATTCAGTTTCTCTTTGTGTTATGGTGACTGCACCTGGCTCACTGGGTTTGAGGAGTAACCAGATTTTAGGACAGACTCTTTCTCTCTCGGTCCTACTCAGATCCCAGTAGGACACTTACCCTCCCCCTGTGCCAAGGAGTGCAGAGGAAACAGCCCAAGGACTTCTTTAGCGACTCTGGATCCCTCAGCCAGATCATGGATATGGAAAGAGCTTAGATTAGAAAGAGGAGGTCGTGAAGGGACCTCCTTGGCCTCCTGTCCCACCTCCCGAAGGCCCATGGAACGGGGGCTTCAAGGCTTGCTCCTGCAGTTGGGAGATGGGAGCCAGCCACACAAACACAAGCAGACCATGCAGCAGCGTCTGTCCCAGAATCTGCCTAAGATGGCAGAGGCGTTGGCAAACAGCTCTGGGGGCAGAGCCAGAGAGCGTGGATGGGTGCTTGCAGCACAGACTGCACCTGCTGACCGCAGGTGGGGATGGAGGACGGAGGGGAATAAGAGTTCCCAGGACCAGTTGTGTGTCCTGGGTGAGCAAGAGAAATCCTGTCCAACATGTGCAAAAGGGATCCTTAGAGGTAGGAGGAGACCCAGGCAAGAAGGGGGTGGAGGTTATCCATTGGACAGCCAGGGCTAAGGAAGGTAGGGTCCACTGACGACCTGAAGGGAGATGCACCCACCAGGAATGATGGAGCTGCAAGAATAAGGAAGCTACTGGGTGCTTCCAAAGCCTCACTGCTCCAGAGAGTCCATCATAGAGAGTTGACCCAAACCATCTGCCACACCAGAAAATAGAACACCAGCCAGCCAGGTTAGAAGGGCTGAAGTTCCTACCTCTCCTTCCTGCATGCACCCAACACACACCCTACCACCATAGTAGTTGCGGTGAGATGGCCTGGGAGCAAGAGCTGGGAGACAGCAGAGCCTCCTCAGCCTCCCCTCCCCACTGCAGGCACACAGGCAGGACATGTGGAGGGGGTGTAGCTAGACCAAAGTCAGTTTTTGATTATTGCATGGAACCAGACACTGTAAGTGCTGAAATAAAACTGCATCTGTGATTCCAGTTGACCAGAAGACTTTTTGAATTATCTAAGAATGAGCAGAAGAGCCGTGGGGCCTGCCAGAGTTTTCATCCAGGGGTCATGGACGTTGGTCCCACTGAATAAAGTTTACAAGAACAACAGGAACAAAATCAAGTTGTATTTTGAATCTGTTGTGTTGTGTTTTCTTAACATATCAATTACTTGAGCTGCACATGATAAACTCTTCTGCTAGACTAGAAGGTGCAGGAAAACAGAGACCCTACAATTTACGTTCCTTGAGGTTTCCCCAGAGTCAAACACCTGGCCCATGGAAGCCAGCTAGCTGTTCTGCCTGTTCTTATTTGATTATTTTATTTTAAGCTATGCCTGTCTTTCTAGAGAAATCTAGATCAATGTATTTTCTCTCAAATTTCTTGATTGCCTCTAAAACATTCTTACTACTACATTAGTTTTTCTTTATGTACTTCTCCAAAGGCAATCTCTGTCTGCCCCTATGTCTTTCAGAGAACCTTATATATCTATGACATTATACTGCATATAGAAGGCACAAGCTGAGTCTTATGCAAGGTTTAATGATTGATAATCGAAAGGAGACTAATCAAAGAGCTCTTTAGCAAGCTTACTGGAGAAACTCAAGGCACTTCGCAAACTCTGTCAGCATTTTTTCTTTTGAGCTTCTCTTTGTGGATCAACATTGATCATTTTTCCAGAAAAAGAAAAAAAGACACCAGGACTTTTTGTGACCTTCCCATTCCTTTTACACCCTACCCCATCCCACATGCCAAAGAATTTCCAAGAAGGGCTTCACTAGCTACTTCTCTACTCTGAGTTGCAGATAAGTTCAAGTATTTTGAATGGCACAGAAGCGATTTCTCTTTGGCCAAAAGAGAAACTCAGGGGAATGAAAAAAATTAAAGGCAAGCCTACTTGTGAGCTTCCCAAACTGAGCAAGTTTGGGTGCAGCATATGTAGTCTCAGTTTTGGAAACCACAATATGCCATTCATCCCTAACTAGATGACGGGACAGAAATGTTGTTGCTGAACCAACCAAGGGAAATATGCTTGCTGATTACCCAAAACAAACTTGCAAAATTCAACTTCTAGTGCTTCAAATTTTCAGATGGGAAAATTTTTCTTACGTATAATTTTGAATATTTTTTTCACTTGCTAAGTGAAGATGAGGTAACCTGGGGGCACATTTGAAAAGATGGGGTTCTTACCTGATAAAATATGAATCAAGAACAAAAACAATTGCTGGTTAAGAAAATTCCAGAATAGCCAAGCAGAGTCCCTTCCTCAAGATGAGAATGGGTATGTGTGGAGAAAGAGTGGGTGGTGTCAAAGACACTGACAGTAAAACACAGACCTTTGGGGCATGTGATTTGGTTCAGCCGATGAAACACAAACTACTGATGCCCTTTGTTACTGAAAACCTTTCATCCATTCATCAAGGAGCCCCATTCACACCACCCCCCTCCTGGGGCTGTAATGTAGTCTTTTCTCCTAAGAGCTGATACTGAGGCCCAGGACTCAGGAAAGTTGACAAAGCAAGCCAGGAATTTCCACTGGGGCCATGCCAGGGGCACTGCCTTGGGAGACACAATCACGGGCCTTCCTCCTGAGGACAGCCTCTTGACTCAGCTCATTCTTTCTACTTCCCCATCTCTCTCCTCATTGAGAAAAAAAGCCAAAATAGAGATCCTTTGGTCTGCCCAAATACAAATCCTACTTATTTGTCCATCAATTATCTCTGAACTTCCCAAAGCACGTCAACAAAGCATTTTATCTACAGGTACCTATTGTTTAGGGCTATAGTCTTTGGAGAAGTTGAATTTGCGGTAATCCATCTATACACAAATACTCATCAGTCAATAAGAAGCTATTACTATGAGCAATGGCGGAACATTCCAGGAAGATGGCAGAATCTAGACAGCGTTCCACAAAATGTGCCGTGAGATACTGAATTTCTGGCTGCTTCAAAGTGTTTATCACTCGCTAAAACGGCCATTTTATTAAGTACTCATTTTTTAAAATATCATTGAAACAGTCATATAGTTGTCTTCTATTCAGAAATGACTGCTGCCTAGGATTTGGGGTTTGTTATTTATTTTGTTTTGGGCTTTTTTCCCCTGGAATACTAGATTTATCGGAATCAGAGAATGAATACCAAAGGTTGACCTAACATTTATCCTCAAATTGTGGCTCCTGGAGGAGTCAATATGACAAGACGATAACCTAATAATTATTGGAGAGGACATCATTTTCTCTGAAGAACTGCGCCCAAGCAAAATAGGTAATGATTACTCATGCTCGGATTCCATAGCTTTAATTATCAGCTTTCTGAAGATGCCTTTTGGAGTCTGCAGGCAGCACTGGCAAAGATGAAAAGAGAAAGAAAACGTTTTGCTGGCAACTTATAAAGTACAACTAGCACTCCCATCTCCACCGCGCGGCAAAATGCACAGCCTCGGCAGGTCACGCCGGATCAGAGCTACAGAATGGGTGTGAGAAGCTGGCCAGGCCGCAGCGGCTACGTGTCTCCAGCACTGTGAACCTAGGAAGAGGGAGCCCACATATTCCTGATTCTTTTCCCGTGAACCATGCCAAATTTTTTTTTAATTCTTTGAGAAACCCGTGGGTGGGCACAGATGGGAAGTGGGAAGCTGCAAAAGGGAAGAAGATGGTATTGGAGTGGAGCGTAGAGCCAGGCGCGCCTCTGCAGGCGCGTCCTCGCGAACCCAGATGGCGCGGCCCCTGCGCTCGGTTCTCTGGCTCTGCTGCCTGCGCCGCGCCCCCTATAGGCCGCCAGCGCCGAGGAACCGAGGCCGAGAGCAGCCACCCCAGACCTGTCTATTTACAACAATAAGCCCACGGGCTGCCGCTCAGTATGCAACCAGTTGTTCCATGCACACAACAAACATTTTTAAAGAGCAGCATCGGATTAAAAAAAAAAAAAAAAGAGTTGATACTGCTCTCCAATGTTATAAAAGGCTTGTCGCTTTATGATTGTTGTACATGTTCAATTTGATGCCATTCATTTAAGAAGCCTCTTTACTTCCCACTTTCAGGTGAGCCCGGAACTCGGCTTAGGGAAAGGAATCCCCTTTACGTATCCAGAAAACATAAAAGCAGCCCTTTCCTAATGGAGTCCCAGCAAAAGCAGTCAACTTAGGAAATATTAGCGCAGCCTGGAGTTTGGAGACTCTCCGTGCAGCACACGTGCCAGGTAGGCAATGAGGCGAGAGGAAAGCGGGTCAGCCAGGCTCGGAGCTGGGTGTTCCCAAAGCTGGAGGGAGAGGAGCCGTGCACATTTACGCACTTATCCTCTACACGTAGGTGAGCCTGCATCACAGAGCGGCGTAGTGGCCCGTGACGGTAATCTGCGCTTTTGACTCTTTGGAAGAAGACAAGCTGACGAGGAGGACGAGGAGGTTTAGATGAGGATTAAATTATTAGCACAAGGCAACTGCAGAAACATGCTCTGTGGCCACCCTCCAGAGCCATTTCTCAGGCTACCTTGCAGCTTGCGGTTGCTAGGGCCCTCTCCCAGATCCAGGCTTCCTTTTCCTCTGGTGTTGTGAGATGGGGAGCACA